CTTCCTGTATCCAAAGACAACAACAGCAGCACACGGATAATGAATAGTTCGGGGCAGATAGCGATCGCCTTTGTTTGCGCTTTGGTGCTGGTACTTTGGTACTGGTCCAAATGTATGGTGCTGTGCTGCGTCTCGCCATGTTTACCTCTACTTCTTCTTTACTTCCGGTATGCACGCGAGTTTTTGTATGCGCCGTCCTCTACTCTAAAGACCAAGATTCCTTGCGAATAGAACATGCGCAGAACACAAATCAATGTTCCTTTTGATAGGGATATGCCGATACGTGTTTACATGACCAAATATTCAGGTTAGAAAAGGGGTAACCCAGGGATCATATTCAGGTTTTTAAAAACCGGAATATGAGCATATTCGGGTTTTTGCCGGCGTTTACATGGCCGTGCGCGACCGGGTTATTGCTAATATTCCGGTTTTGAACGGGTTATTGGCTGCTTGTAAACGTGTAAAGCCGCTTTGGAACAACGCTATATAAATGAAGATGACTTGACTTGACTTGCCCCTGCTGGCAGATTTTATAACTACACTATTTGGATCCAAAAGGCATCTTTCAGCCATTCAAGCCTGTGTATTCTGACTGCGTAACATCTTTCAGTATGCTATATTGGATGTTTTAATAGTGTTGATTTTTTTGGAGGGCTCTTTTATAAAAGCATACATTATTTTTATCTGTCTGCTGCCTTTCACATCACCGATCAAGATAGTCACTCAGCTTGGGTTTGGGGTTGGGATTGGAGGCATTTTTATTGTGCCATCAGGCAATCAGCGTTGTAGTAATGCAATTTTCCTGTGGCTTCAGATTAGATGTGTGTGGGACTGCACAGACCGATTGGCTTCTGACTTGAAAGCAGTGTCACTGTGCCGTATGCCATCAAAGTACCGCAAGAGTGATTCGAGGGCAGTCAGCTGGCTCATTCTGCACAGTTTCTTCTGAGTGACTGTACAAGCTCTGATGATGACACGGCTGTTTCACAATTGACCAGACTCACTGATGACAACGATGACGTGCATTTTGTTTGTATTCTGACACCTTCAATTCCACTAATGCTCACAAATCCATGTTTTTATAACAGTACAAACTCCAGTCATGTAACCTAGTGTTATATTGTCATGTTTTTTCAAATAAAAAAAAACTTATTTTGGAATAAAACTCTATTCTGATAAAATGATAGATAGATCTGATAGATATTAAGCAATACATAAAATATTAAATGAAAAGTGTTTCTGTTGCTACATGAAAACATCTGTGTATTTGACAAATATTGTTTCCAATCCACTTCATATTTGATACAGTGAACTGCATGCATGAGCGTAGTAGGAAGCAGAAAGCGTCCGACTTCATGTCTCGGTAAAAGTCGGACACACCATTGATCATGTGGCATTTTTACAGCTCAAGTGATTGGCTAAAAAAAAATGGATGCAAAACGAGTGCCCTAAACAAAGACCGTAGATTTCAACTCACCAGCTGAGCAATTTATTTTTGAGATATTATATAGACCTCCTTAGGTCTACAAGGTCTACAAAAAATAAAATTATATCATTAATTACTCACCCTCATGCCGTTCTAAACCCGTAAGACTTTTGCTCATCTTCGGAACACAAAATCTTTTTGATGAAATCTGAGAGCTTTCTACCAATTTGAAGCTTTAAAAAGTTCATAAAGAAATCAGACAACTAATCCATATGAATTGAGTGGCTTAGTCCATATTTTCTGAAGAGACTCAATCGCTTTATATGATGAACAGATTTAATCTAGGCTTTTATTCACGTGTAAACATTCATCAACACACACATCAGTTATGATAAACGGAAGCTCAAGCATGTTTGCTTGACGTGCGAGAACCAACAAGGTTCATTCTCATGTGTTACGCAGCACGTTTGAGCTTCTGCAAGAACCAATGAGCACGGTTGAGCTTCTGTTTATGTTAGCTGATCAGTGTTTATATGTAAATAATAAATTAAATCTGTTAAGTGATCGAGTCTCTTCAGAAAATTTGGACTATACCGCTCAATTCATATGGATTAGTTTTACGATCTCTTTATGAACTTTTTGAAGCGTCAAAGTGGTAGGTGCAAAGCTATCTATGGAGGGACAGAAAGCTTTCAGATTTCATCAAAAAGATCTTCATTTGTGTTCCAAATATGAACGAAAGTCTTACGGGTTTGGAAAGACATGAGGGTGAGTACATGAGGGGGAGTAATGACAGAATTTTCCTTTTTGGGTGAACTATCCCTTTAAGAACCATCAAATTATTGGTTGAGTGATAGACCAATCCGTGCATAACTACACATCTTGTGCCCCAGGTTGTTGTTGTTTTTTCAACATGAGTTTGCTGTACATTTACACAGGGCTATGGTTATCCCCGCATGCTGTCAGTGGGTTTTTGTGCCAGAGAATTTCATGCAAAGGTAAATGTTGTGGAATATTTACTAAAGTAGGTTCCGGACCCAATCCTGGGGATGCTGGGTTCAGATCCACACAGTTCCAGCACAAATTTAAATAATTGGAATCTAGACTTGGTGGGTAATATGTAGGCTACCTTTTTTTTTTTTTTTTTTTTGCAAGATTACAATGACAAACCACAAGATACAGATGATTCTCACGTTGAGAAGAATTTTATATTTATGTGTTCTTTAGTGGCAATACGCGAAACTAAACCCATACACAGAGAACCGGGGTTGCTTAGAAAAGGAATAACAGAACTGGGTCAAATAACTCTTTCACAGGTGATTCTCCGTTGGAAATGCTTTGCAGAGGAATATTCTTAATCTGTGTCTGGGAAGCTAAGGCCTGCTCATCTGCAAATCACCAAAAATTAAATGGACTATTTTTTAATCAGCTCTGATATCATCATATTACAACAGCCGAAACCCTGATCAGCCTGCGTCCTGCACTAAAATAGCCTCTGTCTCACGTACAAGAAACAGCAAATCAACACATATTCATTAAACTTAAAATTGCTGTTCGTACAAAAAAAAATTCCAAACACTGTGAATGATAACTTCCACAAAATTGACCACCTCTTGTTCCAACCATAATAAATGGTCAGAATAAATCCCCCCTCCTTCCACATAAAGTGTTCAGTTATTTTTATAAATAGATATGAATCTCTTGGTCGCAGAGGACGATAAAGGCAGGACAGGTACAGATTAGTGCATAATTCTGTTAGAGGGCAGTGTAAATCCTGGCATTTTTATGTTGTTCATTCGCTCTCTCACGCACTTGTTCAGTCAGTTGGCTTGGATTACACAGAGTGATGTCACAACAGCAAGTTTCTCTCTTTATCGAGCAACAGTGGTGGGCGTTCAGCTAGAACTATTGCATAAGCTTCAATTTAATACTGTACTTTAATACTTATATTGGAGTGTTGACGATACTGCCTGCTTTTTGCCCCAGAAAAAAATCTGCACCCGGTTTTAAGAAGGAAAAAAAACGTTCAAAATGTTAGATTTTATGTTTAGAACAAGATTTTTTTTGCTAATGGCATAAAAGTACACATGTTCAGGGTTTATTCTCTGGAATAAAACATCTACTTAACAAATCTTATTTTTTTAAGCAGCTTTTATCTTGTTTTAGCTGTTTTACTTTTTTTAAATCTTGTTTTAAGAATGATTCAATATTTGTACTCGAAAAAAAAAGAATAATAATAACGACATTCTCACATATTCAAGATATATAAAATTCCAATTTTATTTTTTATTCATCAAACATTTTGATTTTAATATTTTCACTCTGTTTGCATATGAACTTGTCATTAGATCCATGCATACAAAGAGTGGAGAGGGACAGATAAAAACAAAAATAGAGGGAGAGAATAAGAGTTTAGTAAAAAGACAAAGACAGATAAAGCTAAAAAATTAAATAAAAATAAAAGTAGCAGGAGGAGAGGACAGAGACCCTAAAGAGGAGGAATCCCATACTTTCATACATATTTGCTGGGGATTGTGGGAAAGCAGCAATCAAGGTGTATTGCTTTCTCAAATGGAGAGTAACAGTGGCAAACCAGGTGAGGTCATTTCAAAGCAGTAAACTCCGTAGCAAACTCTTTTGTAGAGTGTTTGTAAAGTTTTGGTAACGTTGTTATTCATTCTTCACTGAATTATCATCATCAGTGAAACACACTCAATATATATATTTATATACAGTAATAGTGCAACAGTGCCCACCCCCGTTTTTAGAGGCGTTGATTCCAGAAGTATTTTTCCCTTTCATTTTTCCCATTGGGATTTTAAACCAACCAGCTATTAGATGAATCACAACATTACAAACTTATTTACTTGAAAGTACTCAAGTACTTGAAAATCAGACAAAAAGACAATACAAAGACGGTGTAATTAACAGCTTTATTGAGGGAAAGAACTACAATCCCATTAAGTATTGCAAATGACATAATGCCTTGACATGTTTCCCAGCAGAGCTCTTTTGGCACCATTTGATTGCTACAATTGTGTGATTGGTGGAATTTTCTGTATAGCATCATGGGAAATGTAGTTGTCCACCAGGAATTCAGCTCTTAAACATGATTATTAAAAAATCAGTTGAAATAATGCGAACAGATGGCTTCAGCAAAAGCATATACCATTGCTTACCAACCTCAGAGCTCACAACATGTCTGTATTTAAAGGTTTATATCATTACAAATGCATTTCCCTATATAGAAAATGAATAGAGTTTATACTTCCAAAACCCGACTGTTGCACTTCATATTTATCATTCACACCTTCATATTTTTTTCTTTCAGACAAAGATATTGAAATAAAATCATTAATAATAAATAATAATAATTTGTTACATTTATATAGCGCTTTCTGGGTACTCAAAGCGCTTTACATGGAAGGGGGAATCTCCTCAACCACCACCAGTGGCCATTGAGAAGGCCATTGAGTGGCCATAAAGAAGGCCATTACACAAAGTATGTTTTACATATATTTGTTGATATAATCATTGTTAGCATTAAAACAAGAAATTCATACATAATTACAAGTACTTCTGACCAATGATGAAAAAAGTGCTTTATAAAAGACAATGATAATAATTTCCTGTTTGTTTTAATTGTGTTGAGGCAACAAATCACAGTTTCAGGGCTGCATCCTGACAACATTTTTGGTTATTAGTTTTTTTTTACTAAATCAAGTTTGCTTAGTTGTGTTCTCTTCGCCTTACATGCATATACACTCACGCTGTTCACACAGAGTCCACCTTGACCTGATTGTTGTTGGTCATGAGTGGCGAGGGTTTGCTCTTGAGTCTTTCTTGCGCTTCATTTGAACTTTCCCCAAAGAAGATCCTCGCAGTACATACCGACACCACGATGCGCTTATATTCGCGACGAAAGTTCTGGTTCAACACTCCATAGACGATTGCATTGAGGCAACTGTTAAAGTATGCCATGAAATAACTTGCCACAAAGAGCCATTCAGGTATTAAAGGAACCACACGCTCTGGAGAAATCGCTACCGCCAGCCCGATGAAGTTTAATGGTGCCCAGCACACGGCAAAAAGCACAAAAACAACAAACATTGTGACGAAGTTTCGTATGTCGTGAGGCGTGAGCTTGGGACGATTGTCAGGCTTGACTCGTCGACGCACCTGTATGACAAGAACCCAAATTCGTAGGTAACAGTAGGTGACGATCATGATAGGAAGGATGAAATGGAAGAAGACAACGGCGATCGTGTACGCCGAGCTCGCCGACTGCTCAAACGTACAGGAATAAACCCGCGGGTCATACTGCAAGGAGCCCACGAACAAGTTGGGCACGATTGCGAGCACCGTCAAAGCCCAGATTAACAGTACGTAGCAGACTGAGTTTTTGTCACTGTAGAGCTTGTCATACTTCAGGCTGTGGCATATATAGCAGTACCGATTAATTGCGATGCCGGTGATGTTGAAAATGGAGCCGATTACACTGACGCCCATCAGGAAGCCGCTAATTTGGCAGTGCATATACCCCAGGTTCCAGCCCTGGTTAAATATGGAAGTCAGGACCATTGGATACGGGTAGATGGCCACCACCAGGTCCGCCACTGCCAAACTCACCACAAAGATGTTACCTGAGGGACAGACAGAAAGAGAGAGAAAAAGGGTAAGGAGTCTGACTGCATCCAAAAGCTTAGACAGCTTACATGTAGGCTTGCTGCCCTTACTGTAAAAAAAAAAAAAAGTTGAGTTAACTTAAAACTTAACTTAAAGCAACCAGCTGCAAAGGATTTTTTTTTTTTTTTTTTGATTTTCAACTTAAGTAGTTTTGACCAAACACAGAAAATTGTATTTTTCAAGTGCATTTAAAAAAAAAAAAAAAAAAAAAAAATAGACTGTCTAACAAAATAGAAGTTGGATTTTTTTACAATCAGGCAATGACTTTACAGGCAGCATTTATGTATTACGGTTCTTCCTGAAACTGATTTCGGACAGATTTCTGAGGCAGCATAACCGTTAATGATCTACAGCAGAATAGAAAGCTTTGGTGATTATTGTAATACAAATTTTTCACTAGAAATAACTTGAAAAGTGGAAAACATTTGTCAAGGATACATCTATGGATACACTTGGATACAAGTGAAGGATACATATGCTGACTTCAAAAATCAATCAGGATGTGCATTGTTGCCTTCCTACCTCCGTATGCTGCCTATGGAGGAAGCATTTTTCAGCTTTCAGAAGCAGCCAACATAGTAAAAAATTTTTTTATCAAGTAAACAGAATATGTTTACTAAGTCTTATTGCCCCATAAACATATGCATGAGCCGCATTCCAAACATTTGCCTCCTTCGATCCACAGAATGTACGCTCGATAAAGGAGGGTGCACATGTGTATTTAATGTGAGAGCGTGCAATTATTAGTTTCCCACATTGTGTGGATGGTTAGGCATGGCCTATAGCTGATGGCTTCATTAGTGAAAGAACATGGGAGGTTTTAATGAATGCACATCTCTAATTGCCGCCAGAAACAAGGACTTGAGATTGTGTATAAAGCTGAAATAATTAACTAATATTGAAATCAAGAGGGAAACACTAAAAGCAGTTGCAGCTGAGCTGTACTCTGTATAGCTCCCTTCTCTCTGAAGATTGTAAGAAAACACATGTGAATGGCAACAGAGAGGCTTTATGTCTCATTCATGAACACAATACCATATCTGGAGTTATTACATTACAATAGCACTGAATTTAATTCACAAAAAGGAAAGAAAAAGCACAAAAGAGAACTCTTTAATATGTAATGTATCTCCCGTAGACAACAATGAAACTATTTGGAAAGCAAAATTTTCCTCAGATTCTTCTACTGAGCTAAATACATGAATAGTCTTACATGCTTCATAAGGGACCAGTTTACCAAGATACCAAAGTCTGCAATCATCCACCTGGACCATCTAATGCTTTTCTTCCTGTTTGACAATTGTCTCCTTTGTGTCTATGTCCTAATTCAGGGGTTATGAAACTGGGCCGCCACAAGAGGGTGCAATGGAGTTTGCAAAAGAAAAGCCAATTATTTAGTTTTGAAACAACATTATAATGTCAATATTTTCTCACACAGTATAAATAGATCTTTGTAGATGAATTTTTTTCATGGACATCTTTGTACCTGCAACTATTCATTTTAGGAAGGGCACAAAGAGATCACATTTATTGTAAAAACAATTACAATTTATTACTTACAAACAACTGAGAATCACTATTATGTCTCGTAGAGTACTTAAACTCTCATTAGGGTAACGTCACTAGTGCATATTATCTTTAAGGTGGATTTGCAGTGAAAAGGTCTTATTTGCCTTTGAGACAAACCCTTGGAAATCTGGATGTTGATAAGTCATTGAGAAATGGGCACATGAACCCGTCCTTGTGTGTCAGCTGTCTCGCAGCCCCCTCGCAACGTCAGCACGTGTCAGTAGTGTTGTCAAAGCGTAGAACAGAAGCACTAATTTGCGAGTAGTGGCAGTCAGTCTTGACGATTAGCTTGCAGTGGCCTAAAGCAAAGCTGTCACTCAAACTTCCCCTTGAGCACACCGTTGACATGCCATCTACATAGGGGCACATACACTCAAACATTCTCACCATTTGCACAAATATCATCCATGCTTTTCAGGCAAATAACCTTGGCTGTTCTTAAATACCAGACGTCATTTCTTAGAGCATCCTCCTTGGAGGCAGAATACAGGATATCATGTGGCATATAGAGGTTCCGCCTCCATTTCTTGCAATATACTTGCAATCTAATGTAAAGCGTAAAGGGATGGTTCACTCATCATGTTCTCTAATTTACTCACCCTCGACCGCGTCGTTCTAAGCTTCAAGATCATAAAGGAAGATATTTTGAAAACATTCATTTTAGTTATGGCCTAAATTTTTTCTTTCTTTCTTTCCTTTCTGTTATAGGGAATGTGAAGCTAATGTCACGCCGTGTTGAGTTCTGGGTAACTGCTTTGTTTATATGCCATATTGGGAGGATTGCGCTGCCTTTCTGCTATAGGGACTTTAGGGCAGTATTATGATTTTCATAATGTCGCCATTGTATACTGTAAAAAAGTTACTGCCGTAAATTTTTAAGTACAATCAACTTGGATTTTTAAGTCATTTCAACCTAAATTACATTAAACCGACTACATAAATGAGTTGAATCTTGTATAACTTAAGTTATTGTGATGAATTAATGCAATATAAAAACACATGTTGTCATAACTTATTGATCATTTAATTTTTTTTACAGTGTAGGTCATTCATGCTGCATTTAAAATTGCCATAGTAACTCACATCATCGTTCAGGGAGAAAACTGGACAATGTAATACATTTTTTTCATATTTTTTACGTTTAAAAACACCAAGGCAGGAGGTGACGAGAAGTAAATCTACTAATAATGTCACTGATTAAACCCACTGCCCATCACTCAATAAAATAATCACATTGCTGAGTGTTTTCGAAAGTTTTGTTTATTGTTTGGTTTCATAATTAGCATTACATTTGCGAGTATGACTCTCGCTCGGCTTGTGAATTAGCAGAACTTGTGAATTAGCTGACACTTCAAAACTGTTCACAAGCTTCTATGGATTTGATTTTGGTTGTCATTTGTTGAAATAAATACAAAAAAATAGAGTGTGATGGTGTCTATCCACTGAATGTGACCCTCTCCAATTCTCCTCCGTGGCCATATGAGAAAGTAAATATTTACATTGACAACAATAAAACTTCAGTTACATTTACACGTTTCCTACTAAGAAGAGCTTGAAACTGCAGTAAAGTGCATGTTTAGGTACTTTTTTGTAGTTTTTGAACAAATGTAAGTAGAGACTTTTTTTCCCCCAAAAGGCATATGTTGACAAAAAACATCTTGTTCCACAGAAGATAAGAATGTCATACAGGTTTTGGAATAACATGAAGGAGAGTTGATGATCACAGAATTTTCAATTTAAGGTGAACTATCCCTGTAGAGATCTCCTATCTGAATCTAAACATACACTTACTCATGGAGACATTCAAATGTTCAGAAAACAAGTTTGTTTTGAATCTCCCAGCACTGAAGACTCATTACCTCGAATGGAGCCATTACAGGTTAAGTCTTGATGCACACTGACAGCAGAGGTTACTTGGGTTGTCTCCATGACAACTTCACTGGTGCACTCAGCTTATTTGTGACTAAGAGGGGTAGGCGATGGAGACTAGGCAGCCTTCGTTCTTACGGACGGAAGGAGGAATGGAAGAAATCAAAGAATTGTCCTTGACAAAGTCAAACTGTCAAGTCCCAGGGGTATGTAATGCCATCGGCCTGGCTTTTCTACCATTCTGCAAGTTTGTGTTATCGAAGCGATTAAGGTGTCACTCAAACCTTTTTATTTAGCTTAGAGGTTGATAGGACTCTGAACTTGTTCCAGTTGGGTCCCAAACTCTGAAATGTTTTCCCTTGCGGAATTTCAGGATGTGAGTGGTAGCCAGGCAGACAAGTGACGGAAGGATATTACCGGAAAGATATGAGACTCAGTACTTTTAATGAGTCTGTGACTGCTGTGAAACAAATGGCCCCTGAAATTCCCTCTAACCTCTAAACACTTTGTAATCTTCCAGCATGGGTGAATCACATTAGCATGTGCATATCATCTTCTCTTTTCAGAGTCTTCTATCTAACATATGGAATGGACATTTACATGGTAAAAGTCAGGGCCGTTTCAGGCATGGCCCGACTCGTCAGGTGCGGCCAATATCCTTGCGACCACATCATTTTAATTAGAGTGGGATGCCTTGGGTAAGCGCTCAACAGGAGATAGGTCAGCGCAGGTCGCAATATCGACAAGGTCAAAACGTGTGGCAGCTTCCTTCCGGCAGGTCATTATGTATAACCCTCAGGATAATGCATATTAATATATGTTAAATACCTCACGCTTATATGACTACATTTCAATATGTCAAGGCATGCCGTTTTAAAGATGCATCAACTGAGGATGACAGCACTGTAATTGCACACATACATTACATTTACACTCGTCTATACTTTACAATTAAGATTCTGAATACTGTTTAAGTGTAGAAATCCATTATGAATGTCATTCTACTGTACATATAAGCAATGTTCTAGATCGCTTCCTGAAGTGTTGAAATGGGAAAGGTTTTCCAAATTGATTGGGTGAAACATTTTATTTTAGTGGATTTAGTGATATATGTACATTTTAGGGATACCAGCATGACTGAATTTAATTCAAAAGTCAAACTATTTTCATGACATTTGGTTCCTTTAATATTTCTGAAATGTCTGCATTCTTCGTGATGCGGATGGAACACCATAATAAAAAATATGTGATTGGGTATCCAATCCTGCTCCTGGAGGGCCAACAGCCAGCAGAGTTTAGCTCCTGCTAAACACATCTGTCTGGAAGTTCCTAATCTTTGTCCGAAATCATCCCCTATACCCTCATTCACTTTTTCAAACATTAGTGCTCTAATATAGTTCACTTGAGGGAGTGAATGAAAACGATTGAACGAATTCGGACACTGAGTGTGCTGGAAGGGCTGCAGCTTTTGAATAGTTTGTGCTTGCGGTTTAATAACTTTTTATCTTGAACGTTGTCA